AAAAAAGATGGCGGCTAAGAAAAAGACTGCTGTTAAACCGGTCATGAAGAAATGCAATAAATTCCTTGTTGTTTTATGAAAATTTACAACTTTGTGATAGAACTTTATGAGTGGCTGGGTTCTGGGATTGGCCAGAGCCGGTCATGTGGACTGCTAACCGTGAACATGAACTTTTTATTATTTCCCATGTGGTTATATTGCACCATTCTTCTGTCCGCTGCACCTTGGGTCGGATCAGTGTCCTCTATAGGGCTCTCGCCCTCTCTCTTTCCATTTTTTTACTTTTGTGTGTAAGCTCGGCAGGGTAAAGCGGGGCAGAGGGGAGGGGGGGCCGCGCAGCCCCACGCACCCCCGGGCTCCCCCCTCCGCTCCCTCCAAACACTCCCAGCCAAATTTTTCCTTTTTTCCCCCCGTTATTATCACGATTTTTTGGGGTATTTTTATATATTTTTATTAATTTTTATTATTTTTTTTAAAAACCCGCTCCCCCCACTCCCCTCGCTTTCCCAGCTGCTTTATTTTTAATTTTCTTCTTATTGTTATTATTATTATTTTGGGATCTCAGAAATAATGGAAGGGCGGAGGGGGTCGTGCACCAGGAGCGGTTTTTGCAGAGGGGGAAGTCGCTCTTTTTTCCGGGCAAGTGGCAGAAAAATGCCAGAAGCTCAGAGGAGGCTCTCAGGCTGGGACAATATTTGTCAGCCAACAGATAAGCCAAGGCTTATCTCTCCCGCCCCAAAATTCCCACTCGTGCCACAGAAAAGGACGCCAAAAGGTAAGGGAAAAATACATTTCTCTTCATTTATTATGATATATGTAAATATATATATATATATTCTCTATTTTTCCAATGAAAAAATGGATTTGTCAAGCTGCTTTTTATTATTATTATTATTATTATTTCCCCCCTGTTCATTCCCATCTCCTCCAGCCCGCGGAGGAGGCGATGGAGATGAAAAAAGGGTGGGGTGGTGGAGAAGGAAAGGAGGAATTAAAGGTTTGGAATGTGTGGAAGCGACAATTTCAGGCGGAAAAAAAAAAAATAAGCGGAGATTAGAGGCGAGAAAAAGAGAGGAGGGCGAGAAAAATAAAGGTGGAAAAAAAAAGGAAAAAAATCAGCCGAGAGAAATAAAGGTGGGAAAAAAGGGGAGAGAAAGAAACCGAGAGGAGGAAAGGAAGAAATAATGAAAAAAATAAAAAGGAAAAAGAGGATGAGGGAAGAAAAGGGGAAGGAAATGATGAAAAGAAATGTAAAAAAAGGGAAGAACGGATCAAAAAGGAGAAAAAGGAGCCTTGGGAGGTCACCTGGAGGGAGCAGGGGAGGCTCTGCAGCCGCCGCTGGCCGGGATTTTACCCCGCCCGAAAATGCCCGAGCCCTTTGTGGCACTTGTCGCGTTTTATTTCGTTGCTTTGGTTTTGTTGGGGTTTTTTTGGGTTTTTTTCCTCCCCCCGGCAGAATCCCGGGCCAGTTTTGTCGTCTCCAGGCGAGCCCAATCGTTTGGCCGAGTTTCCGCGGAACCGCGTCGGGTTTTGTGTCGCTC